CAATAACCTCATATGCATGTGAATGCTGGACAACGAAGAAGGAAGACCGTAGAAAAATTGAGGCATTTGAGTTATGGTGTCGGAGGAGATTATTGAAAGTGCCATGGGCTGCCAAAAGAACAAAGAGATCTGTGTTGGAAGAAGAGCAGCCAGAGTGCTCCTTGGAGGCCAGGATAGCCAAACTTTGTCTCTCATACTTCAGACATATTGTCAGAAGGGACCAGCCACTGGAGAAGGATATCATGTTTGGTAAGGTGGACGGTCAAAGAAAAAGAGGAAGACCCCCAGCGAGATAAACTGCCAAAGTGGCAGCATGAATGGCTTCAAGCATGGCAATGACAGTGAGGTTGGCCCATGACTGGGCAGTTCTGTTGTAAATAGTGTCGCTATGAGTCGGTACTGACTCGATGACATCTAACAATAACAGCAACAACAAGGAAGACCTTGTTGTGGCACTATATGATAAACACAGGAACATGAACCACAAGGACAGCAGTTCAAATGCAACAGCTGCTCCTCAGAAATCATATACAAGGTTGCTAGGAGTCAGAATCAACTTCAAAGCACTTAACATCAACACCACAAGAAAGACAAGTAAGCTAGTGACTGCAACTCAATGTAAATAAAACAAAAATCCTCACAAATGGACCACTGAATACCATCATGATCAATGCAGATTCACTGATCCACTATCAACACTCAGGGAAGCAGCAGTCAAGAAAACTAAGAACATATTGCATTAGGTAAATGCGTTGCAGAAGAACTCTTTAAAGTGTTGAAGAGCAATGATGTCAGTTTGAGGATTAAGGTGCAAACAACCCAAACCATGGTAGTTTCAATCGTCACCATCTCATATGCAGGGGAAAGTTAAACAATAAATCAGAAGACCATAGAAGAATTACAGCATTTGAATTAAAGTGTAGGATAATATTAGAAGTACCATGGACTGACAGAAAAACAAAAAAATCTTTCTTGGAAGAAGTGCAGCTAGAATGCTCCTTAGAAGCCAAGATGACAAGACTTTATCTCTCCTACTTTGGGCATGTTATCAGGAGGGACCAGTCCCTGAAGAACATCATGCTTGGTAAAATAGAGTGTCAGCTAAAAAGAGCATGATCTCAACAAGATGGACTGACATGGAGCCAAAAATAATGGGTTAAAACCTAAGAATTGTGAGAATGGTGAAGGACTGGGTAGTGTTTTGTTGTGTTGTGCATAGGGTCTGTATGAGTCAGAACTGATTAAATGGCATCTAACAACAAACAACAAAAAAAGATCAAAATATCTAGACATCTCTATTCTCTCTGAACACTAATTATACTTGTAAAATTGACATGTATACAGTAGAAAGCATACCATTTCTGACATTAAAAGAATAGTTAAGAGGTTCCTGGGAGAACAAACAAGATGGTGGATAGGGTGAAGTGCAGTAAGGAGCTCCGTCAGCAAAAACACAGAATACAGGACCAAGGAGGCTCAAGGGATGGTTCCAGAACTCTGAACCACATATAAAGGAATATTTAGAAGACTGTAGGGCTCGAAGCTAGGAGAATTTGTAGCAGAAGCAAGAAATCCAATGCTTTCAAAGTTAAGATGCTCAGCTGCTCC